GTATTGCAGAATTAAGTGTGTTTGTATTTTTATGAATTAAAAACAAGTCCAATGTATGACATACTAAAATTTCAAACAAATTTTTCGAAACATGCCTTTAATTTCACACTTGTTTTATTATACTACAAAACTATTCGCCTTTAATGCAGTACGTTTATGAAATAATTTATAAAATGATTATATTTCATAATATATGCTTAAATACAATTTTTAAATTTAAACGTAGGCCTTATATATAATATACCTTAATTAGAGCCTTGTACTAATAATAAAATTTTAAATCCAAACCTTTTTATTAAATAACTGTATAATACAATTGTACTAACAAAATATATACTAAAAAAATCAGAAAAGTTGTTTTTGAAGGCCTTGTACAGCCTTAAATTATTCTCGTACAATATTTATATACAAGACAAAATTAAAGAGAATTTAATTAGTTAAAAATTTGTAGAAGACTGTTTTTAATTTAGGTAATTGCTTTTGGAGTTATATAAGAAAGAATGAAAAAAATTATATATATAATTTTCTTGTTTTTCTCGAATTAATTCCCACAGGATAATCCCACAGGATTACCGCTACTCGCCAAGAGGGAAGAAAACAATAAAATCTCTGGAATAATCCTTGAGACGAAAAAATAATATATATATATATATATATATATATATACGAGTTTGTTTTTCATACCTTTTAAGATAATTGCGAAAAAAAAACTTTGAGGCATGTTTGAATTATTGTAGAGCCAAAATAAATAAAGATACATTAAAATGTTATTAGCAAAAAGTTTTTAGAATTTTATAAGCTATATTTTGTGTTTAAGAACGTTTTTGCGTAACTGGACATGTCTTTAAATTATAAAAACACAAACACACTTAATTTCACAATGCAACACTAGCTACAAGCTATTTTATACGTCAACAACCAAAGCAAGAAATTAAAAATGCAGAAAAAATTAAATGTACGGAACTCTAAAGGTTTTTTCGGTCCATTCATATGATATTCGGATAGAGCTCGTCGAGACCTTTCATTTGATACCCCACATGCCTATATGTAACTTTACAAAGTTTTAACCCATTGTCCCGCAACCCATTGGTTTACCTTTTATTAAATCTCTTGTAACTTCTGAACGGTTTGTCTAAAATACATGAAATATTCGGCAAATTTGTGCTAAATTTAAAGATCTATAATATTGTATAACATAGTAAAAATAGTAAAACAACTTTGTGTACTTCAACTAATAAATATTGATTTTAAAATAAAAAAAATATTGTGTACGGAACCCTATAGGTTTGTTAAATTTTTACTATGATATTTAGATAGTGCTCGTTAAGACCTTTTATTTGATACCCAACATGTCTATATTTGAAGTAAAACTTCCTTACTCGTTTTGGACCCGTTGCACTAATTATAGTACCGTAACTCGTTCATGCATTTATTTACTAAAGCGCTTGTAACTTTTGACATATTTGTCGTAGACTAGTCAAATATTCGGCAAATTTGTACAAAATTAAATTACGTATAATACTGTCTAATATTGTAAAGCCATACGGCGACTCGGTTTACTCTAAAACGTGTTTGAAAACAAAAAAAATAGTGCTAGATGCTTGATATATATAAAATACGGAACTCTGTAGCTTTATTTGTGTTTAAACATATATATTTGGATAGTGCTCGTCGAGACCTTTTATTTGATACCCAACATGCCTATATTTGAAGTAAAACTTCTTTACGCATTTTGGACCTGCTGTACTACTTATAGTACGGCAACTCGTTTATGCATTTATTTACTAAATCGCTTGTAACTTTTGAACTATTTGTCGTAGACTAGTCAAATATTCGGCAAATTTGTTCAAAATTGAATAATGTATAATACTGTCGAATATACCAAAGCTCTACGGATACTCGGTTTACTGTAAAACGTTATTGAAAACAAAAAAACTACTACTGGATGTTCAATAATAATTATAAGATACTAAACCCTGTTGGTCTGTTTTATTTGTGACTCTGATATTTAAATAGTGCTGGTCGAGACCTTTCATTTGATACCCAACATGCCTATATTTGAAGTAAAACTTTTTAACTCACTTTGGACCTTCTGCACCGCTTAGACTACTTCATTTTGTTCCTGCACTTACTTATTAAAACGGTTGTAACTTCTAAACCGTTAGACATATTCGCATGGTGTCTTCGGCAAATTTGCTTAAAATTAAATTATCTTTAATTTTGCTGAACATTCAAAACACCTACAGCAACCCTGTATACTTCAAATACACCCTTAAACATAAAACTATAATATAAACCAACACAAAACTCTGACTTTCCGAGGCTCGTTTGGGAAAACTATCCATCACACAAAGCCCAAATTTGAGTATATCACTCCTTAGACATATCTTTAAATTCAAAAAATCTTTTGCTATACCTCAGACCCTCCAAACCCCTAAAAAACCCTATCTTATAATTTATTCCATCACCCCAAAAATAGTTTTCTCATCTTCAAACGCGATTTTGGCTGCCTGAGAGTAAATATTACAGTTTCCAGGGGCGGAGTTATGTTTGTTTGATCAATATTATGATCACGTACGAAGTTTAAGGGGGTTGTAGTCTCTAGAAACCCACAGAAGCACTAAAATAACCCTCCCAAACCCCCAAAACTATATATAGAACCCCTTTAACTTGAAAACTATCCTTGTACACGTTGGAAAGTTTTATATTTAGTGTTATTATTAATTTTGGGGGGTGGTTTGTGGGTTTTTTTGGGAGTTTACAGTGTTTTGTTGTATGGGGAAGTTTTTGGTTGTTTATTTGGCTATGTTTTTTTGGAATATTGTTTATAGTTTGGATAAATAGTTTAGGAGTTATAGTTAAAAATGTACCGGTTTGTTTTTGGTAGATTATAAATTTTTATAACGCGTGATAGGGTACAAAAATTGCTTTTAAGGCCGAAATATGTATTTTAGTATAGTATATTGTTAAGGAAAACTAAAGTTAGTTTATTTAGCTACATTTTTGCTTAATATAGTTTATAGTTTATATAATTAGTTTATTAGTTACAAATAAAAATATATAGCGTTGCAGTTTTATTCGTAAATTTTGTTATATACAGTAAACAAGATTAACAAGATGAATTTTCAAAGGCGTTTTAAAGGCTTAAATTGTTAGTCAACAAAATCTTGGTCTTAGACGAAATTAAAGATAATTTCTTTAGCTAAAAATTTCCCAAATAAAGTTTATAGTTTAAACAAATAGTTTACAAGTTATATTTTAAAATTCAATTTTAGTATGTATATTCTAAAATATAAAAACGTTTAAAATGATCCTGGATAAATAAAATAGGTTTTTGAAGGCGTTTTGAAGGCTTAAATTGTTAGTAAACAAAATCTTGGTCTTAGACAAAATTAAAGATACAATATATATCTAAATATGTCTCAAATATAGTTTATAGTTTAACTAAATAGTTTACAAGTTATATACTAAAATGTATAAACGTGTTCGCTATTTCATTTCTTTCCATTATAGTTCATAATGAGTCCGGGTAAACTTAACTAATTTTTAAAGGCGTTTTAAAAGCCTAAGTTGTTAATAAAAAAAAATTTGGTTTAACACAAAATTAAAGATAATTAATTTAGCTAAAAATTTCCCAAATATAGTTTATAGTTTAAACAAATAGTATACAAATTATATACTAAAATATATACACGTGTTCATAATGATCTCGGATATACTTATTTAGTTTTGCAAGGCGTTTTAAAGGCTTATATAATTAGGCCACTATAGTATATTATTAGTTTAAACTGAAGATAATTTAATTAGCTACAAATTTGGTTAATATAGTTTATAGTTTAAATGATTAGTTTATGAGTTATATCTAAAAAATGTATATCATTGGAATTTTATTCATAAATAGTTAATGAGCGTCGCAAGATGAATTTTTAAAGACGTTTTAAAGGCTTGAATTGTTAGTAAACAAAATTTTGGTCTTAGACAAAATTAAAGATAATTTATTTAGCTAGAAATTTCCCAAATATACTTTATAGTTTAAATTAATAATTTAGAAGTTATTTTAAATAAACATACATCTGTTTCTTAAATTTTTGTATATACTTTGATTTTAAAGGTTTAATTAAATTTATAATTCTAATGGCTTAAACAAACTTTAATATTAATATAATATAATTTAATTTAATATAATATTTAATTTTTTTAATATAATATAATTAATTTAATATAATATAATATTTAATTTATTTAATATTTAATTTAATATAATATTTGATTTATTTAATATTTAATATAATATAATATAATATAATATAAATGCTAGATTAAATTAAAGATAATTTAAAGTACTCAAAATTACCTCAACAAAGTTTATAGTTTAAAAAATTAGTTTATAAAAATACTTATAAATGTAAAAAATATAAATTATATTATAATTTATATATATACTTATGAGTTTAGTATGTACTTGTCCTAACAAAACTCTTATATGTATACTTGTATACAAAAATAAGACTTTTGGGTATTTTTAACGTTTGCACAAGGCTTTGGGGTATAACATACCCAAAAAACAGCCTTGTAGTTTAAACAGAACTCAAAAAACAAACCTTTGAAACTTATATCAATACTTATGTACTTGTGTAAAAATAAAGTATCTTGTACAAAAAAGCTTCTAACTTTTGTTACAAGCAAAACTTAGTGCTTTAAGTATTTTTAAAATTTAAACAAAGGTCTTAAGGGTACTTTACCCTAATTACAACCCTGTGCATTAAACCTAAACCTACAAAACTTAGTCTTGAAATTAATTTTGCACACCTAGGTAGTTGTCTCACAAAAACACCCATAACTCTCGTCAAAACACAAAATTGTACACTTTTATATTTTTATAATTTAAACAAACCCTCAAGGTTTTTCATACCAAAATTACAACCCTCTACCTTTACCCAAAACCCAAATATAATTATTTGAAATCAACTTTGTCAATTTTCATTTCTATTTTTCTACAGATCTCTCCACCAGTACAACAAGAACAGAGAGCGAAGTCGCTTCATCAAATATTCAAACCACTAGTCCTCAAGAAGCAAAGACGCAGTACCAAGTGGTTAAAATCAAAGCTGGAAAAACGGCTGTGCCATCTAGTGTTATTGTCGGGAATTTCGACAAATCTATTCAACAAGTGAGATAAAAAATGATTAAATTTCATTTTTGTGAAAAAAAATTGTATAAATAATTGTTTATTATTGTTTTTGCTGCAGATTCGCGATTTTTGACGCTGGAGCAAGGAATGCGCGCCAGCAGACTGTGGTAGTCGGAGATACTGTGGAGAT